TCAAAGTTTTTATGCAGAGCAGCTCTAATGTGCTGATCAAGAGAAAGTATTTCGGCATCGTGTTTTCCGCGAATCATGTGTTTTGTGATGGCAACTACCTCAAAGATTTGTCTGTTCTTGGGCGTGATCTGTCCCGTGTTATTATAGTTGACAACTCCCCACAGGTAAAATGTGGTCAACTAGATTGATGTTGTCCGATGTTTGAGAAAACACGCTTCCTTGCTATTCCAAAAGAGACCAGCATGTGATTTGCGATGTTATTGAGTGAAAAAGAAAATGATTGTGCGTCCTTGCATGCAAATCACTGAGAACCACATTATTCTTCAGGTAGTTATTTTCAGTCTCAAGAAATGGTTATTTACTTGGTTTTGTTTGTGTTTATTTTCTCCTAGGCATTTGGATTCCAAGTGGACAATGGGATACCAATTGAGAGCTGGTTCGATGATCGCACGGATCAAGAATTGCTTTTATTACTTCCATTTTTGGAGAGTTTGGTTGGAGTTGAAGATGTAAGGCCACTGATCGCAAAAAAATTCAATCTTCGGGAGAAAGTGGCAGCAGCTGTTTATCCTCCCTTGATCGCAAATAAAGGAGATCCTTTTGAAAGGTGAACCTTGATATAACTGGAAATCTGGAATGTGAAAACTGATTTTGAGCTGTATTATTATTATTATTATTATTAAATATTTGCTTCCTATTCGTTCTGCAGTGTTTAGCAAGTGCAGGATTTGAAATTAATATGCTGTAATTCCAACCAGTGATGGAGAAAGGAAAAAAATAATACCGTGATCAGGTAGTCATGCAGAGCCAGAGCAACGTGGGTAGCCCAAGAGACCCAGAACGACCTTCGATTCGGAAATGGATATTCGAGTTTAGATTGAATAATCTCTGAAATCATCTTAAGCACATAAATTTTATTAATTTACCAGAATTACAAGAACCAAATTTATTGTTTGACCAAAAGTATTACGCATATTTTCTTGCCCACAAATTTGTGTTGGAACATGTATTGCTTGATTACCCCGAACAACAATGTCTTTACCATTAAATTTGATTATAATAGTTTTATTAATAATTAATAAATTAAAATATAGATCTATTAAATTAAATATCATTGAGTTAATCATTATTAATTTATAATATATTTACAATTATTATTTTTATCTAATCATCTCAACTTGAGCCCACAGCCAGCAATTGGTGCTCAATATTTCTAAAAATATAACTATGTAAGCTTTTTTAATATTATCAAAAGTTTCGGCAATGTCACCGTGTTGATATGAGGAAAACAAGCTAACCGTACGTAGTTATTCAACTCTATGGCGGCACTTAAATATCCTAAACCCAATTCAGAAAAGTTTGAATGCCATCAAATTGTAATTTGTAAAACATATACGCATTGCCCATTCTGATCATTAAAGAGTTTCCTCCTAATAAAATATGATATTTGTGGATTTTTTTTTTTTTTTCTGTCACTAGGACAATAAACTGCATGATTTTTATACACATTCTTAACCAGAAATAGAAGTAAAATTCCGAATATTTAGATACCAAAACATATCGTAAATTGAATGGGAGTAAATATTTAGATAATTATAAATTTTATAATGGAATGATTGGTTATCAATTAATACATTTATTAGCTCATATGGATCTATTTTCCAATTATTAGAATTCGAAATATGTATATTTCACTTGTTTTAATCGTTAACAATTTAATATCTGAACAAATTAATTTAGTTCAGACAGTACTTCATAAAAGTTATAATAAAAAAAAAATTGAAACGGCAGAGATCCCTCTCGCTTTACAAACACGCAGTTGGCATTTTTCAAAATTCGGTTATGGCAGCATCAATCAATCCTTACCCAATAAAAAACAAACTACGGATTGGTTTTGCTAGCCCTCCTATAAATGCCCGCGGAGCCTTTGATCTCCCGCCAGTTTCTGAAGTTTCTTTGTTCGACTCGATTTTAAATTTCAAACCTACTTCTCTCTCTCTCTCTCTCTCATTTCTGTCGCTAACTTTCGAATTTCTCTCTATTTTCTACATCAATGGTGAGCCTAAAATCGTCTTGAATCCTTCTTTTCTGGTTCTTCCTTATTTTTCCTGTTCGCACCAACTTATTGTACATCAGAATCTCATTCTATATCTCCCCGTTTTTTTCCTCAGGGCGTTGCACAAAAGGTGAAGGAGGCGGAGATCACTGAGCAGAAGTCACTGCTTCTGGTAATCAACAATCAATATCATATTTTAACTTATTTGGAACTTTAGTTTGATCTTTCCTCTCATTCGATCGAAGAGTGTATAATCCAACTTATTGTTCTTTCACTGTTGGACCTCTACGTGATTGTGCGCTGTTCTTATCCATTTGAATATTTCTTCTTCTGCTTCAGCTAAACATCATACGGACAGATGCACGGGAGACAACTCAAAATCGCTTTCGTTTCTATTCTTGTTGTTAATCCGAATAATATGCTTTGTTGTCAATCATTTATCTGCGTGCATCATGTATGTGTACTTCATAGGTTTGTTTGTCAATTAAAAAAAAAAGAAACGTCTGTTTGTCGTCAGATCATTGCATTTGTCGTTGTATTCTTCATCAGTGCCTTTTCTGTTTCATGGATTCACTCATTGTTTTATATTTTCTTCTAACAGACGAGGAATTTGCTCCGTATTGCCATATTCAATATAAGTTACATCAGAGGCCTTTTTCCAGACAAGTATTTTAATGATAAGTCTGTTCCTGCCTTAGGTAACTTTTAAAGGAAGAGTTATATACTTCTGGTTTTGTAGTGTGTGTTTTTTTAAATACTTCTGCACATTCTTAAATAAATGGATGCATACATATCTTTGAGTGAATGCCTCTTATATTTTGAAAAATTATCAACAGATATGAAAATCAAAAAGCTGATGCCGATGGATGCGGAGTCACGCAGACTGATTGACTGGATGGAGAAAGGTAGCCTGAGTCTCTTCATTTGCAGAAGCTTCAAAATTATTTTTTCCATCCGCAACTTTTTCTGACAAATATTTTCTACGTGATTTTGCTTATTGAGTTCGATAGTCTTAATGTTTGATCTTTGTTTAGGTGTCTATGATGCATTACAGAAGAAATATCTGAAAACACTTCTATTCTGCGTGTGTGAAGCAATAGAAGGGCCAATGATTGAGGAATATGCATGTAAGTTCGTGCGATTGTTTCATTTTACTGTAGAATCCAATAAATGGCTCTGGGGATTGGCTTTTCAATTTGAAAATTTTGCCATTTCACATATCGCCTTTTTAATTGTTTCTGGTTGACGAGCAGAGCACATGCTGTCAACGTTTGTATCTATAGCATACAAGCGATTCACCATAATTCATCCTTCGTGATTGACCCAATGATTGCTAAGTAAAAGCCAGTATAAGTACTGTGCCTTATGCAAATTAATTTGGTGCTGTTGTTTCTCTCTAATGTTAACCTGGTTTTTTATAATTTAATTACGCATTGGGAGATAAAGTTGGTTCATCCATGGTTGTAATGTCTTTTTGCTCTGCAGTTTCTTTCAGTTACTCAAATTCTGATAGCCAGGAGGTCTCAATGAATATCAATCGCACTGGAAGCAAAAAACAGGGGGGTACATTCAAATGTAACTCCACAACCGAAGTTACTCCCAACCAGATGAGGTAATTTAAATGTGAATCTCGATTCACATGCGTTTCCTGTAGTCTACATTTGAACCTTCTTACTATACTGGTTAATTTTGAACTAATATTGACATTCAGGAGTTCTGCCTGTAAAATGATTCGTACATTGGTTCAATTGATGAGAACTCTTGATAAAATGCCAGAAGAGGTGAATGAGTTTAGCAACTGAACTGAAGGTCTTCGCTCTGATTTTGCATATGTAGATGTTACCCTCAATTATTACTGAAAATATATATGTTTCTTTCAGCGCACTATATTGATGAAACTTCTGTACTATGATGATGTGACGGTATGCCTTTTCTTACTAATTAATCAAAGATTAATTTCGTTCTCATAGAATTATTGCATTCAAGTTTCATGTCTCTTTTTTTAATTGGTCTATCAAGTGGGAACTGGACTCCAGATTTTAGGCTCTCTATGGAGGCTTTATGCCAATTGGGCTAACAATCATGCGTAACATTCTTGGTTAACCTTTTCTCTACATGTACTTACTTTATTTCATTTTTAAGTAAAGAAAGTTAGTGTTTGAATATAGTGTGAATATAATTAGGCAACTTTGGTGGTTTGACTCTGTCGTGGAGGATGAAAAGACAAATTCTTTGCACTGCATGTGAATTTAAATTGTTTTGCTTATAGGCTCAATGGGGCATTTACCTTCTCTGGAACATTCAGTGGGCAAAAGATATTCACTTCTGTTGTCGTCTATGTGGAAAATAGTAAACAAAAGGAAGAAAAAATAATGCAATTACATGACCTTGCAGCCAATGGATTATGAGCCCCCTTTCTTCAGAAGTTGCACAGAAGAAGAAGCTCATAATCCATGGACAAAAAATCCTCTGAAAATGGAAGTTGGAAATGTCAACAGCAAGCATTTTGTATTAGCCCTGAAGGTAAAGTGTGAAGTTTGTAGGAGGGTAGAAATTAAGATGGATAATAATATCTCCTGTCCTCGTTAATTTGTTCAGGTAAAGAGTGTGCTTGATCCTTGTGAGGACGAAAGGGATGAGATGCAAGATGACGAAGTTATCTTAGGGGGAGATTCTATGCAGATGGACGAATCTTCTGACTCAGGCAGTGAGGTGAAGAGACAATATTAATTTAATGTTGTTCTTTAATGATTATTTTTCTTCAAACTTCATTGTTTTTCCAAAGAGCAGACTTCTCTCTTAGTCTGCCAAGAGTGAAACAGCTGCAAACCCTCACGCATTTCCATTGTATCAATAATAGATAAGAAATAGATTTTGAGACAAACTTTGTACTTTTATTGCTGTGTAGAAAACTCATGCTCTGATTTCTAAATTCAGGTCAGTCAATCACAAGATGATCAATACATTGTAGCACCAGTTGGTAATTACATGATTTCACTTGAAAATCAGTTTACCCCCATTTCCTGTCCCAAAATTATATAGAAATACATTTGTATAAATATTATTTCTATGTACATGTTTCATTTTGATAATTGACAGTAAAACTAACCAATGTTGCCATGACAGGTAAACAACAACCAGAGGAGGAAAACGGCATGGTTGATGAAGGTAATATTTTAAAGTTAAATAGAATAAGATGCATTCACCAACCCCTTGCGGAACAACAGAGTCATCCAAATTAAGAGAGCTGCCATACATGATAAATTATAAATATTAATTGGCAGGTTTTTTCTCTCTTTCTTTGAACATTTGAGTTGTGTCTTTCTTGCTTTGCAGAAACTCAAGATCCAATTGAAGATGAAAACCAACTAGCTAGGGTGAAAGAATGGATAGACTCTCGTCACCTCGAGACGATTGAACTTACTGATGTCCTCTCAAATTTCCCTGACATCTCGGTGGTGAGTTTTTTAACTTTTATCATGCAAACCCCAAGTCAATAGCACGACATGTTTTAAACATAAATTTTAGATCTCACAATTTGATTTGTCCACTCTGATTTTCATAATTGCATACTGAAGTTTTGCTGGTTTTCATAAATGCAGGTTTTGACTGAAGGTAAAAGAGAAGCTTTGATCTACTCTAAATTTGACATGAAGAGGATATCTAGTGGTTAAATTTGAAGTTTAAAAATTAGTTCCCTTTGCTTCCCTGTAATCAAAATATCAGAAATCATGGATACGCTTGTGAAGGAAGGTGTTTTATCAAAGACCGGAAAGGACACTTATACTAGATACAAGAAAAAGGTTTGTCTTTTTTTCCCTTCATTATTTGTTCGAATTCAACCTATCCTCAATACTGACGAAGACCCCACGTCAGCCGTTTGACTATGAGTTCACTACGGTAAAAGAAGAATTGGATGGTCAGACACTCTCGAAGGGTGACAAAGCTCAGCAAGTTGATGAGCGTACCTACATGAAGGTGAGAACTTTTCTCTTATTTTCTCAGTGGTAGACAAAAGGATATTTACGCTGTTTTTTACGAAGTTGGAGCATTCTCTCAACGACTATAGGATTAGTATATGGTGCCACTGAGGTTGAGAGTACCATGCTCATTGTGATGTATATCGCATTGTAATGGTGGTAAGAATACGCAGTCCTTTTAAAAAAATAGCGTGGGATAGATAGGGACACCCAAGGATAGCATCTTCGGACCCCATTTTGACTTGATCTGAGACTGTTTATCAATAGATTTCTGTTTTGATCTTGTTATGTGGGTATCTGAGGGTGGTTTTCTCCGCTTCTCCTGATGAATTGAGCCACTGAGTTGGCGTGCAGTATGAAATTCGAGTTTGATTTCATATTGTGTCTATCCTAGGTTGAGACGGTTCACTTCTAATAACAGGTATGCTGTAATCTAATTTCACGTGGTACATTCTAATTCGTTGTTACAATCTTAGGCCTTGTACCATGCTCTTCCCATGGAATATGTGACGGTCTCGAAGCTTCACAAGCAGCTGGACAAAGAAGCAAATCAAACTACCGTGCGCAAATTAATTGATAAAATGATTCGCGATGGTTATATTGAAGCTAAAGGGAATCGTAGGCTAGGTCTGCATTTCTCTCAGAAACCTTTTGTCCTCGCATAATTTGTGGGATCATACGGTTTTCAGTTTCCTTTTGTTACAGTAATAATCCGGGTTATTACAGGAAAACGTGTGATCCATTCCATTCTAACTGAGAGAAAGCTTATGGAAGTGAAGAGCGTTTTGGACAGCGATAATATGGTGATAACTTTTATCCTTGGTTTTTCTACCGGACTACTGCATTTTCTTCTTGGATCCGAATATTATGTTTCTTTTAACTTCTTTCTTAACCGAACAGGATGCGAAGATCAATGGATCACAAAGCAAGTCTTGCCACGTAGCACGCGCAGCTGGTACTGGCTCATACCCTTGTAGCGCTGCTTCAGCCCCTTCAAATAATACATTCCGCTTCAAAATGCACTAAAACTGTGGTTCATTGTCAGGAAGCAATCTCAAGGATTTGTCAACGTGCGGGGTTCTTCATTCAGTTGGATCAGATCTCACACGCATGAAGGGTACATCCGACATCAATCAAAATGATTCAATCAGGAAAACCAGGGAGAATGGAGGCACTCCCATAAGCATGGCTGAGGTAAGTAAACTTTGAAATTGGTTCTTATGTCAAAAATTTTCTAACGCTCCATTGTCAGTTGATAGTCTGTTTACTAGTAGTTTACTTTTAAATACTTCCAGCCAGTTGCTTCGAGAGAGAGTTTCATACCAGGAAATGAGAATCGCAGAGACAATGGACATTCCAATTGCTGTGAGGAGGCAGATGGGATTATCTGTAGTAGATCCACCCAGGAAAAACGGTCAAGGAAAACAAGCACGGTATGCTTCATTACTCGCTCTTGTTTACAGGGAAAACCTGTCATTGGGAAATATTCTATGAATATATGTCATTATTAATTGTTTATTTATTTCCTAAATGACAATTGTTTATTTATTTCCTAGTTTAGTGGTGATAGACTGGCTAATTTGTGCAAGTCAAGAATTTCAATTGTATATGTATAGATATAGGCAAAATCAATATGCATAAATATAGGTAAAATCAACGTAATTGTTTCTTATATACACATGTATTCTATACCAAATCAATGCAATAAAAAGATATAGTGATCTTTGCCAAAAGATTTTATCACCTTTTTCTTCACCAATAATACTTTTGTGTCATGATGCTTTTGGGGCAATTCTTTAATTTCGCATAAGAATCTCACGCACTATATAATAACTTAGACAATATTAATTGATTGCTACATAAACTTACTAAACGTTATAAAGATTATCTCGAGGCGGATGGTAATAGAAATTTATTGGATCTTCTTCTGGTTCTTAAATTTTGCAGGTCAAGGAGCCCATCCTTCAGTACTCCAAGCGCCAGAGATCTCAAGCCGTCTGAAAAAGTTTGACAATGGGTGTTTACTTTGTTAAAGCTGTAGAACATGTAACTCGGGAGTGATAACATCTGGTAGAATATAACTATTGTGAAATCGTGGTTAAGCCAAAGCTACTTTGCTTAGTTTCTAGGCCAGCATTTTTAATGTGGTCCATGAACCAAACAACAGAAGCCAGTTTAGCGAAAATTAAGGTTGGAGACTTGAATTGGAAAAAGAAATTCCGTTTCTCCTAAAATTTGATCCATGGAAGTGGAGGAAGATAAATGAAATTACAATACTATAATAATAGAAAATTCTAATACAAAATTATAATTGCCATTGTTTATAATTAGTAATAATGTAGTGAAGTGAGATACTTTTTCTTTTTCACTTATTTCGACACAAAACTATAATTAGCAAAGGAAAAAAGAGTTATGATTACCACTATTTTTTAAACTTAAAATTTTAAATTTTCTATTCTTTTAATGCTTCCTTTGAATAAAAACTATTATATGAATAGAGAGGAGAGAAAAAAAAAAGAAAAAGAAATAATGGTTTTCACACAGAGGGAAAAGGAAATTATTTATTTCATTTGGATCGGTAAAAATTAAAAAGAAACTAAAGGAAAAAGAAGTGCAGTTGTGATGTTTAATTTTATAATGAAAAAATTTGTTATAAAAATAATAATAAATAATACTCTTTATTAATAAAATAACTAGTTAGGTAAAAACATATTTATATTTATATTTTTGAATATTAATTAAAATTTGATTGATTATATATTGTTTTCCTGAAAATAACAGTTTTAATCGAGTAGTTAAGAAGATTTTGAGAAAACAAACCTCAAACACGACTCAATTCAAATTGTATTAACAAAAAAAAAAGTATTAAATTAAATTTAAAATAATCGTATTAAATAAATTTTGATCAAAAAATACTATTTACATGTCAAAATAAGTTTATAGGGACAAAAAAAAAAGGAAAAATTTATAAAAATCTACATATTCATCCATATATGTGTGTATATATATACATAATAGATTAAGTGGGTTTGAGTCAAAAATATATATTTTTTTATTAGAATGAGATTTTTAAGAATAAAGTGAAGTGGAAAATTGTAGAAATCTTTATATTTATATGTTTAAACCTAGTGCATCCATGTTATTACCCCAAAGGAACTTTTCAAATCGAAAGAGTCTCTTGGTTTCAAGTTGATTTGCAATAGGACACACTTTTGAGATACTTTTGCTTGTACCAACATTTTCCAAAGGGTATTTACTTGTTATACAAGATTTCATGCCAGTTTGTCCAGTAGAACTACATTATAAATAGGGAGACGTTTAAATTTTATGTATGACACAATAAAATTCTAATTAATGTGGCTGTGAGAAAAATTCTATTTTGGATTTATTATTAAATTCATTTCTAAATAAAATATTTTTAAAAATTAAGCCAAAGATATTTCCTCGTAATGTAAATCAGCAGCGCCCACGTGTTTTCTGGAAGCCTCTACTTCCCCCTTGGAACCAACGGGTCCCACTCCTTAATTAAAAATTCAAAAGCCGATGAAACTTAATGCAAACCCTTCCTTATACGGGGCCCAACTTCTCTCTAGAAAGATCTAATCTAAACCGTCGGTTCAGATGAACGGCTCAGATCAACCGTTACACTTCTCTTTCAAACTAAATTAATAAATACATCCACCATCTCCTTCCTCGACCAATCTCATTACACTCGCCAACACACACGATACAGTGGTGGTTGAGAGCAAATCGCAAGCTTAGAGAAGGTGATTCGTGCCAAACAGAGTAAAGTCATGGCTGAGGTATAGCAGATCTCTGCGTTATGGTTCCATCGCTGTGCCTTCTTACTTCAACCCCTCCCCCCGCCCCTCTCTTTCGATTTCCTAACCTTATTGTTCATGTTTATGCGAATATGTGGATTTGTTTTTGCAGAATACGGAGACTGAAAGCACGAGTACTCACGAATTGAAGCACTTAGGGTTGTTTCGGATGGCTGCGATTCAAGCCCTGATTTGCGTTTCGAATCTCTACGAGTACGCGAAACAGAACTCGGGGCCCTTGAAATCTACGATTGGGACCGTGGAAGGTGCTGTTACCACCGTTTTAAGTCCCGTTTACGAGAGATTCAAAGGCGTTCCTGATGATCTCCTCGTTTTCGTTGACAATAAGGTAGGGTTTTATCTAGTACAGAAATAGATTTTCAGTTTTCTTGAACTGTAGAGGCCGTACGGGTACTCAAGTGTTTGATTAGTGTAGGTGGATGAAGCTACGCACAAGTTAGAGGAGCATGCTCCGCCGTTGGCAAAGCAGGCAGTTAAGACAACTCGGAATCTGATTCAAGAGGCATCAGAAAAGACTCAAAAGATTGTAGGGGAGGCTCGGAGAGATGGATCTAAGGCGGCCCTGCACATGGCTACGGCAGAGTGTAAACAATTCCTCTTGACGAATTCAGTTAAGGCGTGGGTGAAACTCAACAATTTCACGCCCGTTCACACGGTGGCCGACGTGGCGGTTCCCACGGCGGCGCACTGGTCAGAAAAATACAATGATGTGGTGAAGAACATGAGCCAGAAGGGTTATCCCTTGGTTGGGTATCTGCCTTTGGTCCCTGTTGATGAGATTGCCAAGGCTTTTAAGCAGGGTGAAGCTGGGAAGAAAGCAGATGAAAATGAAAATACTAGCAGCAGCTCAGACTCTGATTCAGATTAAACAGATCCGTGTTAGCCTGCAGGTTTGATTTTCCATAGTCGCAAAAGGGTAATTAGATAGCCCCGTTGGTATTATGTAAATTATGTAGTGGACATGATTCCATTCAATACGCATGCATGCTTATGTGTTTTTCTTTCTTAGTCGGTTTTTTTTTAAAAAAAAAAAAAAAAAAAAACGAGAACAGCTTTCTGAACATATTGAATTGGAGTTTTCAATTCTCGTTTGAAGTGTAATAAAATGGGTTCATGTACAGTCAGTGTATCAGCTATATGCTCTGTCTTGTAAAGAATTAAAGTCGAAAAATCTCACGAACTTTAAAGAAACAACGAGATTTGAAGGTCCAAGGTATTTCATGTTTGATTATATTAAAATTCAGGGAAAGTCTATTCTATCTCTTAACTATTAGATTCTTCTGTCATTATCATAATTATTATAAAAATGTTAATTATTAATTATTTTTCTTCATCCCACTAAAAGGGTTCCATATCTATCCCTAAATCCGTAGTGGAAAAGAATGAGTGCCACCCACCCAAGGGCTAACTGTTATTCCTTAAAAACAAAGAAATAAAAAAATAAGACACGTTATAATATTAATTTCGATTTGCACCATTTTCAAACCGAATTCTCCAAAGTCCTCGAATCCCTCCATTATCTACTACCTTCATCCTCGAGATTGTGGAAAATGGTAAGCACGTTTGGTTAATGGCGAAAACTTTTGAAAAGATTATACCAACATCAAAAGATGAATTCAATTGACCACTTAAACTTGGACCCAACAGGCCCGAAGAACAAATTCCTTCGCGAAGTCTATATGAGCCGAAACCCAAGTTCACTGCTTAGAAACCAAGAGGCCTGTCTCGGAAGGACTAGCCTAAATCCTACCCCAAAACCGTTGTCCCCTTCAATCCCATTCAGTATTTCTTTGCCTGCCCCAAACTTACTCAAATCTTTACTAAGAAACCCCTAACTATCATTTCTCAGGTGACTCGAGATTCCCAGTACTCTGCAACGAAGGTCCACTCTTCTGTTCCAAACCAGAACAACCCTTCATCCTTGCCTCTAAACCCCCTTGAGTCCTTGACCCCTTAAATCTCCTCTCCTTCCATTATTCCCGTAATAATGGTTCTCTGTGATTTTGTAAGGTCCTTCGATGAGGATTTATATAATAGGGTTCACCAACAATGAACCATCGAGAGCCATGAATTGCTTCATTTGGAGCTGTTGTGAGCTTGGGAACTCTTCATTGGCTAAAAAGATTCTCTCTTTGATAATTATGATTTGGAGATTATAACAATACATTTCGATTCAAACTTCTATTTCATTAATAGTCTGAAAAGCCAATTTCCTTATCAAATGGCAACCCATCTTTGTTCTACCATTCCTATACTGTGCCGCCTTGAAAATTTTCTTAGTCAACCAAAATATTGATGTTTGTTTTACAAATATATTTTTATTAAGTACTAATTTTGTATTGAATTATACAAAAATAAGAACAATCAGTTAATTTAAGGGTGAAATTTTTGTAATTTGCCTAATTAATTAGTAACCTAAGCATCCCATAACAGGTCAGATTTTACATTCAACTCTCTCCCCTCTTTTCCCTCACCTCTAGAAAACACAAAAATTAATTATACGGATTATTATATTTCGAATTTATTTTTTTTTTCTAATATGTAGTAGATAGTTTCCTAAAATGAGGCCAAAATTTCCATCTTATAAAATTAATATATAAAAAATTACTAAAATAAAAAATACTTTTCATTAGTATCCCATTTTGCTATAATTTGTTCAATTAAACTTGATATATTTATTGGGTAATCAAATTAACTTTAATTCAAGTCAGTAATATTTATACCTCTATCTCATATGGAAAATATATATTATTCTATTTTATTATTAATGGGATTTAATTAATTAACAAATATATATATATATGTTTAAAAAAAAAAACCCTACTAGTAGGCATATGAGAGTAAAATTGGCGTCACTATTTATATATTAATTAATTATGTTGAAAAGAGAAATTTGTACAGAGCTGAACATCATTCTATTCAACAACATAAGTTGATAAAATTAACATACAAATTTCCACCACACCAACAAATTACTACCTTTCTTTCTATCTCATCCATCATCCATCACTTGGGAGTAAAAGCCTGAAAATATATTCCAACACGAATTCCAACAGTTAAACGAAACCATGCAGTATATATATATATATATATATATATATAAAAGGTTGAGGAGATGATCAATGAACTTACAGCAAAAATGGTGGCATGACCAGGATCAGCAAGATGAGCAAAGAGGTTGTCAATGGGTCCAGTACCAGTGTAAATATGTTGGAACCAAGCACCCATGACAGCCAACATGGCTAATCTTCCATTTTTGATCTCCTTGGTTCTGAGTTCCTTCACCTTCTCCGGCGAGCCAGACCCCCAACCCAGTGGGTCAAACCAGAGGCCACCTGGGTACCCAACGTCGGTGCCGGTAAGCTTGTTGTTTGGGAAGATGGGATCGGTGTTTACACAGCCTGGCTTGATTATATCAGCCCACCGTCTACCCTCTGCCCATCCGATGAATATCAACTCAACTATGAACAAGGTAGTGGTGTCTGTAAAGTACTCTTGTTCTCCAGCAGTATACCAAGATGGGGTGTTGAGAATTCCAATCTTTGTTAGAAATTCTGGGATGAAAATCCCAGCTGCACCCAACATTGCCCATCTGCAATGAACTATTTCCGCTTGCTGATTCCACCTCAAACTGTCCGGATCAGATCCTGCATGTGTGTACGTATACATATACATATTATAAGTATTTCCAGTCACGTTCTACTTAGCTGAATGATTGCTATATGATTAGACATACCAAGACCAAGAGGGTCGAATCCGAAATCTCCAGGGAGGCTGCAGGAATGAATGGGAGTAACCTAATTAATATATGGTAGCTTATGATTTGATGAAATGGGTAGGTGGTTGTGGAGAAGATGAAGAGATACCTTCCGTCGAGCCATGGAGGAGGTGTGCTGCCGGGAAACCAGAGGGGTCTCTCTGGGTCTGCAACTGCACAGACTGTAACTGAGCTAGTTTGAGCTTGTGGCGCCGTGTACTTCCGCACACTTCTCAATTTCTTACCGCTCAGGAAAGAGGCTTTTGGTGCTCCAACAACCGATCCATTCTTCTGCGAGCTGCAAGTAATACAAAAGAATTTAGAAATGGTGGAAATGTAAGAAGAAGAAGAAGAAGAAGAAGAAGAAGAAGGAGAAGAAGAAGATGAAAAAGAAGAAGGTTGAGTTGCCTGGGGGAAGAGATGGCTGCGAAAGGCGAAGAAGCACAGAGAGAAGCCATTGTTGAGAGAGTGTTGGATGGAAGTGAAGAGATTAGAAAAAGAAGAAGAAGAAGAAGAAGAAGAAGGGGGAGGAGAAGGACGGGGCTTATCTTAAATGGGATAGGGAGTAAATCTGAAATTCGCTCAACGGTTGCCACGTGGCATTCAAGAATCTGCAAGACTCCCAGGTCAGCAGCTTATTTGGATTATTATATCATTAATTGGTGGTTCACCTTCAACCCCAAAAAAAAACAAAAATAAAAAATCAGATTTTAGTTAAATAAATATTTTAATTCATTTAACAATAAAAAATAATATTTTAAATAAATTAAAGTTGTGTAGTACTGGGCCAAAGCAAAATGGGTTGGCCGATAGATTGTTGCTTTGAAATTTTGCCCAATGGGTCACCAATATGTAATATATATATATATATATATATATATATGTTTATGTATTTATTTATGAAATATGTAAAGTTGTATATTTTTATATAACTATTTAGTTTATTTAATAGAATAAAACTTAAATATAATATAATCATAGTATTCGATTACAAATTGTTGAAAATTGAAAGAAATTTAACTGTAATAAATTATTAGTCCTACTTATTGTTGAATTTATTTGAACATATATATATATATATTTGTATTATACATTACATTTTAAGCAAATGGTTATATTATTACATGATAAATTGGTAGAATTTTATATAATTATTTTATGTGTATTATATTTTTATTTTATATTATCTTAGGTTTATATAAATTATTCTTAAAACCTTTTTGTTTTTTAAATAATTTTATTAGTTTTTCTTCAATGGAAATTTTTAAAAAATTATTTAATTAAATATAAGATCTAAAATAATTCCAATTAAAAAATTTCAAAATTTAATCCTATAAGTAAAACTAGTGATTGTGGCAAGACTAAAATCCGAATTCATTACCTTTCAACCATATCAAATGTTTATTATATTTATTTTGTCAAAAAATTTATTTCCTTTTGTATAAAATCCATATATATATATATATATATATATATATCAGAATATAGAAAAACATGTGTAAGATACTGAGGTTTTGTTTAATGCCAATTTTTAATGAATGAAATAAGAATGTAACACAAAAGGAATTATAAAGAATAATATTTTACTTTATGTCATTTTTTGATAAAAAAATACGAACAAATTTTTGAACGAAAATAATATTTTAATCTCATATTTAATTCATATTAAATAATTTTATAAATTTTTATTAAAATATATAGTTTTCAAGAATTTAATATAAGAATTAGGTTGATACCCTTGTAAATCTAGTTGTTTGGAGATGTAAATATGTTATTATAGGCTAATCTTTTGATTTGAAAATATTTTCTCTAGACATTTTCTATCGAAGATACGAACTTTTGTTATTATATTTATATAACATATACGTGCGATGCAATCTCTTTTTTGGATCGGAGCAATAAATTCTTAATAATCGTTAGCATAGTAAGAACGATTCTAATTAGGGTATATGATGGTAAGCCACTTAATCTTTCAACCATCAAAACATATATTGTGAATCAAATTAAACAAGTTAAAATTAAGTCGTAATTTCTTTTGATATATAATAAAATATTTATATAAAAACTTCGTAATCAAGTCAATACAATGAACTTATTCATATAATAAATACTTATAAAATTATTATATTTTCAATATAATTACTTTACAAAATATAACTATT